CTAGGCAGGAAACTCAAGCCCAGTTAATCAAATTCTTTGCTTAATCAAGGGTTGGGAAATTTATTTCAAGACCTCTCTTTCAGAGAATAGAGACCCTTGAATTTAACGACTCAAGATTATGAACTCTTGCTTTGTAACATGATACAAAGTATAGATTTTTCTAGTGTTTGGGTAAAAATAAGAATGAAATAAATTGGAGGAAAGAAAAGATGATCAATTAAACATGTTCTAATAATTAAGAAGAATAAATATGTCCACCCAAGAGAAAAATATTTATAAAATACATAAGCAAGACATGAAACACAGCAATTTTATTTGATATAAAATTAGAGATACAACCAAAATTCCACATTAAACATGGACTGCTGCACAGCTCCCCAGAGTCAGCCCCCTTACCATGTACCAAGGCCCAGTGACAAGTAGGGAAGATCCTTCCTCATCCCATCATTTGTACATTCCAGGAAAGATAGAAAAGTCCCAAGAATCAAAAGGAATATCCAAACATGAGTCAAAGATAAATTCTAGAGGGCTGGGGCTGTGGCTCAGTGGAAGAGTGCTCACCTAGCATGCAGAGGCACTGAGTTCGATACTTAGCACCACATAAAAATTAAAAAAAAAATAAAAATAAAGATATTGTATCCACCTAAAAAACTAAAAAATTAATTCTAGACTACAGGTTCTCCTAAAATAAAGATTTAGAAGACGATATTTTTAATTCTTGCTGGTCCAAAGCCACCTAGTTTAGGGCTGGGATGTAGCTCAGTGACAAAGCGTCTGCCTTACATTCGCAAGGCCCTGGGTTCGACCCCCAGTTCCAAAAAAGACAAAAAAAAAAAAAAAAAAAAAAAAAAACCACCAAAGCCACCTAATCTAAATCAGTGCTCTTAAATCATTTAATAAGTTTGGGGCAGAAGGCTTTTATACATGCCAATGGGTGAGAATGATGAACCAACAGTGACAGAATATTATCATGTGAACATCACATCTCATCACATAAGACTGGAATTACAGGAAGAGTAGGGTAATTAGGCTAAATTTATAATTACACATAGTCTGAAAAGTACCTTTTACCTAAATAGTATCTATTATCTTTATAGTCTGTGGTCATTTTTTGATCTTCTCAGAAAATCCAAATAATGAGCAAATAATTTGATGAAGACTTATGGTTGGTTTGGTATTCACCAGAATGTTTCTCTGTGGAAACTTAATTGACAAATTTATAATACCATCATTTAAGTACTGCTAAGAATTCACTGACACTTCCAATTTATGATGACATGTCAAGAGGCAGAAGTCATTGAAATAAGAAAAATCTAACTAACGAAGTGTTCTCAGATTAAAATTTGCCCTCAAACATCCTCCTCCCACACCGTCTCCTCCTTTTTGGGGGGAATGCTCAGGATTGAACCCGGAGCCTCAAGCATGCTAAGCACAAGCTCTATCACTGAGCTCCAATCCCAGTCCACATTCCTTCCTTTTAATAAGAGTTTCTGTTCTCACCCCAAGGTATCAAAGTCTTTCAAGGGAGAATTATAGAAAAAGACACTGAGAAAAAATGATCTGATAGAGTTATACCAGCTAACAACTAGAGAATAAAAACCTGAAAAAGATGACGACAGAAAGACAGGAATACAAAAAATGAAGAGAAAACTGACAAAGCTTTTTAAATATTTTTTTGAATATTCTTTTAATGACCCTCTTTTTATTGTGGAAGTCATTCATTAGCCTAGTCTACAATTTTACAGTATAGTTGCTATTATAACTTCAATTGTATTAAGTATAAAATACTTATATTCATTCATAATTTTAGTTACAATTTTTCAACTGAGAGTTCCAATATAACATTTTATTTACTATGAATTTTCCCCCATTTTAAATAGTAATTGAAAGCCTGGAATAATAGGGACCTCTTGAACTAAATAGTGGTCTACCTTAACATTGTAGCCCTGAAAATGTTTTCCACAAATTTGTGACAACATATGGATTTAAGAATATTTAAAGATATTATCAGAATCTTTCAAATCTACCAGAAGGTAATATATACTCTCACAAAATATCCCTTGATATCAATTTGAGAATACTTCATTAGATTGAATGTCAGTCAGACCAATTACAGATCCTGCTTCAGTTTAATGTTGTTTTTATGGAATTATACCATCATCTTTACAAAGATTTTTAAACATTAACTTAGAATAATCACCACTGCAATATCAAAAGGATACTTTCAGAGTAACTAATAGAAGAGATGAATAAGAGCTACATGACAATATTATTATGACACCATACCTTCTATTATAACAGGCTTAACTGAAATTTAAGATAATAAAATGATTCAGATTAAATGGTTTACACAGGAGTTGGACAGCCTCACCTGTATGAAACTATTTATGTTCATTCCACACTCCAAAAGGGTTGTTCACCATACATGTACTCTTTCATTCCATTAAGAAAGACATTACTCTGACAGGAGGAAAAAGATAAAAGACACAGACAACAGTAGTAGATGTCCCAGGGAGAACTGGAAACAGTAGGAAAGTGGGCCTATAACAGGATGGAACTAAAAAGTTTATTAATAATTGGATATGTCTTCAGATTCTATCAAAGAAATGCTTCGGAAGTATCTCTCTAAAAGTACATGTAGGTGTACATTAACAAAGTGGGATAGGTGATAAGGCTCCGTGCCAGTGAGGGGTGATTAATAATGGTCTAGCAGAGATGAGGGCACAGCAAATTAATGACAGAGTAACTGGTTCCTCTTACCCCTAGATCAAAATTTTTCCGTGTCTAGACTATACTCATACCTTTGGATGCCACAGCTAGACACAATCTCACTTATGTCAAAATGAATCATGTCTCAGGCACTGTTTTTCATTCTGTTTTACGATTATTTATTTACAGGTCTTAATTTTACCAATAGGTTATAAGCTTCACATGTGTTATCTTTATTGCCCTTACAGTACCTGGCTCAGTGTGTTATGAATTACTGCAGATACACCACTGATTGCCACTCTGAAGGTATCATAACAGGTAAAAATATATGACGGAGAGGGGAAAAATAGAAATTCAGTGGATTAGACAAAGGGGAATGAAGGGAAGGGAGAGGGGATGGGGATAGAGAAAAGACAGTGGAATGAATCTGACATGTTTTCTATGTACATATATGAAAACACCACAGTGAATCTCACCATTGTGTATATCCACAAGACTGGGATCTTAATTAGAATAAGATACACTCCACATTTATATAAATATGTCATGTATAACTCAACAGAACAAAAACATATATCATAATTATAGCAAATCACTGGTATGCCACAGGATAGAGATTGTAAAAAAATATGGTATTTAGTTTAAAAAAAAAAGCAATGGTATAAATGGCCTAGATTGCACTCCTTTTTAAAAACCCAATGACAATTATTATTTTTGGTGATACCTGATGCTTGCCGATGTGCCCTGTAAGATGAATGCACAGCCAGAAGCCTCTACACGCATACGAAAGTTGTGCTTTCATCTACTGATGCAACCACTCTTTTTAGGAGATCATCATTTGTCTCTGGGTCACCTGTCGTTAGTCCAAAGTCACTGCTCAAAGAGCTCATTTCCAATGGTCTCACGGTGGGTTGACCCAGGGCTACTGCTTCCTTTAGACCAAGCACACCCTTTGAAGCATGCCCTCTGCACCCCCACCCCCTGCACCTGTCCCAGCCCAGAAAAAGCTAAAAGCAGTTTTCCACTGCCTTCCTTTAAGGCTGCCCTCACAATGGCTGCTAAAGTTCCCAGCTGATATGCATGTGCTCCACATAACCAGAACATCAGAGTTCGATTACATCAAACAGTACTGAATCTATCCTGGGACATTTTTGTTAGCAAGCCCTTTCAGTTGTCTCTTGTTTGCCGAGTCTCTGAGGGTGAGGGTGAGGGTAAGGAAAAGCTATTCATAAATGTAGAAGTTGGTATCTTACAGAGCTTAGTAAATGGGATCTGATGAGGGCAGGCTGTGATGGCAATCTTCATACTTCTGATTAGATACAAAGGTTGATGCTATGCTGGTTCCTCTTACCCCTAGGTCATTGTTTTTCAAATGGCAAGCTGTGGCTCATTAGTAGTAGAATCAATTTATCTGATGCTACAATAGATAGGCATTTATGTGAGTTTATACGAACAGGAGAGAACAGAAAATGGAGTACCTTACATTAGTACAACAAAGTAGTTTGTGATACTTTTGTTTTAGTTACATCTAGTACAGTATGTGGGGTTAGGATACAAATGTATTTCTACTGGAGTTCTCTGTCTAAAAAAATGTGAAGAAACACTCCCTACAACTCCTTAAAGGCCATGCAGATTTTCATGATCAGCTGGCTATCTTTGGCCAACAGTAGAGATTAAAAACCAGATGAATTACTAAATGCTATATTTTAAGCTTTCTTTCCCAGCATAGAGTAATTTCAACATTCTATTTGAAATGGTCTAGATGTGTGATGAAGACCTTCAAAGTATGCTATTTCTTCTCAAAAAGCTTTTATTCTTCAAATGAGTGATTCTAAATATAAAATCACCCCTTGATGTTGTCTCTCATTATTCTTGTATTTCTAACTCTGACTAGGAGCTGGAGAGCACAGTAACCAGTACAGAAACCTTTCACAAAACACTAGCTATTTGTGTGACTCGGAGAAGCATTTACTTTAAATCAGCCTTTTCATTTTAATTATATTTGAAAACAGTGTAGATGACTTCTATACAGTCTTTGAAGCAAGATTTCCAATGTTGATTGTACTGTAAAACACATGATAAATGTTCTAATATCAGGATACATGAAAAGATTCATATGAAAGGAACTAAATTTTTCAGCCCAAAGCATGATAATAAATAAGCTATATTCACTTTCTGAGATGATGTCTTTAAAATCTTAAGAAAAAGATAGGATCCAACCAGCTAAACCCCATCTTTCCACAATTCCTTTACAAAATCTTAATAAAGAAGGAAAAAAAATACATATATACCTTCACTGTCCTTGAATTTCTTGATTGCCACAATTTCATGTGTTTCCTGCAAAGGAAAAAGGCAGAAGGAAAGTTATTCTTCAATGGTTTTCCAATTGGGGAACCAATTACCTGGGGGTATATTCTGGGACAGAGTAGCAAGAACCCAGAAAGAAAGAAACCAGATCCTCCTCCTTCATAGCCCTCCATTTCTTGGTTCCAAAACTCTCTTTCTTACCACACTGTAGACACGGTCAAGGAAGGTGAAGGAGAAGGGGAAGAGGAAAAGGCACAAACAGTTGAGATGGCAATGGAATATGCATGAATCATAAACTAGAAGTGTTGATGTCTTCAGGCTACTCAAAAGTGGCAGGATATAAAAGGAATAAAAATAGTAAAAAAGGAGACATCAAAAATATTCATATAACCCTTGCTACATTTTGGCATATTTTCTTCAATTAAATTTTTCTCAAATTGGAATAGTAATGTAGTACATCTTGTTGTATGTTGCCTTTATTTCACTTGATACTGTATAAGCAACATTTTGACCTGTCATTATTTTTAAAACCACCATTTTAATGGATGATTATTTAACCAGTCTATCAATGAATAACTTCAATACCTGCATCTTTATTTCCATAAGGTACATTCTGTAGCAAGACAACTGGTTCAATTTTATATATCAATAATGTTAAAGGGTCCTGGGCTGGGATTGTAGCCCAGTGGTAGAACACTTGCCTAGCAGGCGTGAGGCACTGGGTTCGATTCTCAGCACAGCATATAAATAAGCTAAAATAAAGATCCATTGACAACTAATATATAAATAATGTTAAAGGGTCCTAATATATATTGCCAAACTGACACTGAAAACTGTATCATTTCACAGTTCCCTTCAGCAGTGTATGAGAATATCCAGGCTACAACCAATGCCAAATGACATAGAGAAGTTTTCTTTTTTTTAATCACCTGGTTAGTGCATTGAGGTCTACTAGGGTAAATTTTTTTTCCTAGCTGATTCAAGGATGAAAAGTTGTTACCAAAGTTTCCCCAGGTTGACGTGATTATCAAACTATTTAGGGTTTTTGTTGTTGCTGAATATATCTTGTTATTATATAATCAAATTTATTAATATAGGCCTTTGTAACTAGGTTCACTACTCTTATTCCCAAACTCCTTATTTAACTTAAGTGTGGCTGATATTTATCCATATTTATGTGTCTTGGTATTTTAATAATTTAATGTCTTTCCTTAAATCTGTATCTATATGTAATTTATTATAATATGACATAATGAGGGAATCTAGATTTAATATCATTTCTAAATATAGAATCAATTGTCCGAATCCCCTTCAGTATGGATTTTTAGTTCTTTCTTATATTTTATATTCTCACATACATATTCTAGATTTGTTTTCAGAGCTTTCTTAGTCATCTCCAGTTTAGTCCTGTATAGCCTACTATTCTTATGCTAGAACCAGTTGATATTATTGGAACCTTAAACTCCTGAATTAACCTGAAGTTACAAATCCTGATCTTACGTTGCTTTGTTAAATGAATTTATTTTTGAGATTAGGTATTGGCTGTCAAATCTAATTTAAAATTACACACACGAGAGTGATTAAGTTCATCTATATTTATTTACATATTGAATTGGCTTCACTGTTTACCAATAGCCTTTCTCTCCTACAGTTTTCACAAATTTTTGTGAAATATTCATTATTGAGTGAAATATTTGCATTAATTTTTTACTCAGCCAGAGTGGATTGCTGAATGGCTTTCTGAGGAAGGATGGTATTTTCCTGAACATCCTCACACATGCATGGCAAGTTTGCAGAAGGAAGGGGAAGTCTTACATTCTTGAAGAGTCCCTGTAAACTTGTGTGTACTGCAAAGCCCTGGAAGGAACCATTCACATCGCTCACAGGGAAAAATCTATATATGCTTATTAAAGCAACTTAAAGGCTAATAGGAGTGGAGTGACTTGCAACAAAATCCATATACTATATACTTTTCCAAGAGGAAGAAAATTAACGGTTTGAAAAGAAGGACTGCCATTTTCAAACATAAAGAAATTATAGTAATAGTACATGAGGCTCTAAATGGGGAACAATGATGGTCTCCAGTATTTAGTGCTATAGAAAAGTTGTCTGTGGCCAATTTGGCTTTTGTTCTAATGTAGATAACTTATTTTTATTCTCTGCCTTATTACTTTTAGAACTTCTCATTTTCCTTGAAATAAAAATTTGAAATTATCGGAATATATCTAGAGGGGAATGTTTGTATTTTTTGAACTAATATTATCTCAAGATCAATGAAATTACAATAGTTTTCTTCTAACGAACTTAAATGTTTCTGCTCTGATTTTTCTATTATTTTTCACTATAAACCTCAGGGTTGCTTAAATCACTGAGCCACATCCCCAGCCTTTTTTACATTTTATTTTTGAGACAAGGTCTCACTAAGTTGCTGAGGCTGGCTTTGAACTCGGGCTGTTCCTGCCTCAGCCTCCCAAGCCGCTGAGATGACAGGCATACACCACTATACCAGGGTAAGCCTCAGAACTTTTAGGTGGATCTTTTGTAATTGTTCGATATGCTTTGTTCACGACTACATCATGTGTGCCTAGAACAGCAGGCACAGAGTAGTTATGTTGTCCAATATTTAATGAATGAACAGTTAATGAGTGAATTACTCAAAATGCTGCACCAATTTTGTTCTTTATTGGCTCCATTTTAGGTTTCTTGATCTTCTTTCCTTATCTCAGCAGCCAACTTCTGCAATTTTTGCCTCGTTTCAGTTTGTTCCATCTGTAGAGGTCATATCTTCATGGAGCTCTTTCAGGAAACTAAGCAGATGTCTCAACTTCATCTGCTTCTTACAAAGAAAAAAAAAAAAAAACATCTTCAGATCTAGGTGCTGCCACTACAGGGCAATGTCTTCTTTGCCATGTCTCTTCACAGGGCCTCCCCTCCATTTTTGTGGCCTCATAATTACTAAGGATGAAAAAAAAGAGCCACCAGGACTGGCAGATATCTGGCAGCAAAAAGAGAACTTGGATTCTTCAGCCATCTGAATTTCAAATACAGATTGATGTAGCCTGAGCCTGATTTCAAAACCTGGACTCCTAGCAAAGATTCTTATTGAGTTTGGCTAGTCTGAGGCTGGACTGCCTGGGCACCGTTCTATGAATAAAAAGTTGGAGGAGCACATGCCACTTGCTGTTTCCTGTGTGGGATCTAGAGAACACATTTCCTAGCACAGCCTGCTCCCACACTTCTCTGTGGATGCTACATGCCTCTTCTACTCCTTCTCTACTTCTTGTTTTACTGTATCTGGGGGCATTTTAGTCTCTGAAATGATCTGGAAATATAGATGCTAATGTGGCATAGTGAGGCACTGAGAACTCCAGCTCCTTGCTGTCCAGCCTCTATGGGCATGGATCCAAGTCTTTTCCTACTCCCTTTGGATATTTTGACCAACTTGGGTTCACAAAGGTGAATAAATAGCATGACATTCAAGACTATGTTTGTTAAACCATTCCTGCTAATGAAATCAATTCTCCTTGCCAATAATCTTTGATGGATTTTTTTTTTATTTACAGAACTGTTATGAGATCCTGTTTTTCTTTTTAAATATCTTCATGGATATTTAATAGAAAGGCAGGAGGTGATCACATGCCAAGCTTTATTACTTGTTCCACCACCACCCAGAGATGACATACACAACATAGGTGTGGACAAACAAGAAAAATACATAACAAAACACCATGAAGAGGGGCTGAAGCTGTAGCTCAGTGGTAAAGTGCTTGCCTCGCATGTGTGAGGCACTGGGTTCGATCCTCAGCACCACATAAAAATAAATAAAGATACTGTGTGTTCATCTACAACTAAATAAATATTTTAAAAAAACATGAAGAACTTGTGATTTAAATTCAATTTATTCATGAAAGCATGCCATTGCCCCCACAACGTCTGCAACAGAATGTCACCAGCTGTAGTTAACAAGATAGGCATAATTTGCTATTTGTTTCAGTACCTTGCTCTGTATTAATAATGAGGTAGTTAAAAGCTGGTATTTTAAGAAACAAATTAAGAATGTGATAAAATATATCAGTAATCCATTAATGATAATCCCATGCTTCATCCTTAATTCTGTATCAAAAATGGAATTTGCAATACAAAAAGACTAAGTAATTTTAGATAAAGGTTCCTAAATTATACTAACTTCATGAGAGAAAAAACTATATTAAGGCATTTAACAGTTCCCAGAATAAATTTTTTCAGCAGAAAGAAAAAAAAACAGAGAAAATGAAAAATGATATTAGTAGTAACTAACACAGAAATATCTGGAGGACCTATAGTTAGTTTTTCCGGTATCAAGATCTCCACCTCAGGGCTGGGGATGCAGCTCAGTGGTAAAGCACTTGCCTAGCATGCACAAGGCCCTGGGTTCCATCCCCAGCACTGCAAAACAAAAACAAAACCCTACCCCATAAAAAACAAGCCTTGATCACCAACCAACCAATGAACCAACCAATCATATTGGACAGAGACCTGGTAACTACTCCTGTTGTTGACTACCTAAAGTTTCTGAGTCACTGTTTTATTCTCAGTATTAATTTTCCCTTACTTAAGATTTTGGCAAAGGAACTAATTGGTATTAGCAGTCATAAAATTTACTAACTTATTTTAGAATGCAGTTATGTAAGAATGCTCTGGAAGAGTGAATTCTTTAAACTGATCATACACTGTGTAAAGAAGCAGCAGGAGTCATTGTATTAAATGTTTTGCTCTCTAAGTTAGAAATCCAACATGCATCATGAAAGAGGACGGACAAAAATATTGATTCTATTTTATTCTACTATTCAAGGATTAAACCATTTCAAAGGTTATACTCTACAATTCATTCTTTAATTACTCTCTGAGGAAGCCCTTCCTTGGGAGAAATGCTTATTTCTTCATCTGAACAGCAAGGAATACAACCTCACAAGTATTTTAAATATGTTTATATGTAAATATCCTAACAGTCTAACTGCTTTCCCATGCTCCTTCAGCAGGAGCAAAACCAT